CTGAAGAGTCAATGAGTCGATGCAATCAGCTGGTTTTCCTTAGATAGAAAACTTGTGTGATGTGTTGTGAATTGGTGCTCTAGAAATAAACTGAAATTAGAAATAATTAACTTAAATTAATTTTCTGGTTCGTATTCGTTTCTAAACGTCTTGTTTTTTTTGTTTAGTTTTTTTACCAGTTTAGGTTCTTTTGCCTTTATTTTAATTGTTGTTGGTTTTTGTGGTTCTGGTTGTTCCTCTTTGGCCTTATAATGAAAAATCATGGATGTTCTGCTGTCTGTGATCCAGAACAAGAACAGAAACTCTAGATCAACATCAGACCTTCAGAATAAAAGCTGGAGTGATTTTTTTATCAGTTCAGTGTTGTATGTCTATCTTCCTGCAGTCTGCTGCCTTTAGTGCGGTAAAATGAACCGAATGAGGAACCCGGAGAAGCCTTCTGACGTTGCAGCAGGAACATGTTTAATTAAACAGCTGCAGAACCTGCTGCTCAGACTAAAAGTAAAATAAAATAGAACCATTTCAAACTGCAGAGACTTTTTCATTCTTAGCTTTATTTATTAGACGCAGACGGAACCAATCAGACTCTAACTGGGCTGGTTCTGGTCGGGCTCTAAAGTCCCAGCAATGAATAAACCTTCCAAGCCGGGACCAGAACCATCTTAGACCGCTATTTGCTCCAGACTGGGTCCAGATCCTGCCTCCTGCAGTCTGGGCGGGTTCTTCATGGTTTTCTCCACCCAGTCCACAAACATGGCCACCTTGGTGTAAACCCCGTAATATCCCGGGTGGGGGCAGCCGCGGCCCCAGGCCACCACACCCGTCAGGAAGTGGGTGGAGCCGTACTCCGTCACCAGCGGGCCGCCGTCGTCGCCTCTGCAGCTCTCCAGGCCTCCGTCCAGATATCCGGCACACAGCATGTTGTCTGTGAAGTTGAACTGGGATTTCAGGGAGCACTGGGAGTTCTGGATGATGGGGACGTTCATCTGGCGGAGGATGGGGGAGAGCGGGCGGCCGGAAGAGGCGTAGACGTTCCCACCGGTCGTCCTCTTGCCCCAGCCGGACACGGTGTGGTAGCGGACCGGCAGGAGTTCCCGTTCTGCAAAGTCTTTGGTGGGAAGGCAGATGGGGACGACGAATCGACCCAGAGCCACGGACTGGTTCAACCGGACCAAGGCGATGTCGCTGTCGCCCGTCGCTGGGTTGTAGTTTGAATGGGGTATCACCATGGTTACGGCTATCTGCTGCTCTTTGTTGTCCTTCACGTCCAGGTTATGTTCACCTGATCAGATCAGATATGAACAGAATTCAGATTATAGATAGTTTCACTGATTCAATTATTTATTCACAACATCATTAGAAAATACGACAGAGTATTAGGGTCAGTCTAGAGATTTATTTATAAATATATGAGATGCGAGAACAAAGTCATAACATTATGAGAATAAAGTCATCATAGCACAACCTGTTTCAGAAAGAAAGCTCCCAGCTCAGTCGTTTGCAGAATTGTTTCAAAATTCTGATTCTAATTATAATTTGATGCTAAAAGACTCTATATTTCCTTATTGGTCAAACCAATGCCAAGGTATAAAACTCCCCTTTGAAACTCCCCTGACCCCCTTTCAAAGGCATATCTGGTATTGCAGACCAATAACGACCCCCTTTCCATAAATAATTCAGCCCCTCTATCGATTTAAGCCCTTGGTTCCCCTCTGGGGGTTTTACCTGCCACCACAGTGAGGTTCCAGGGGGCCGTCTTATGGACGCAGTGGGCAGCAGTGATGACCCAGTCCGGGTGGATCAGAGCTCCACCGCAGTGGCTGCGTCCATCCAGCTGAAGCAGGACCTGATGGAGAACAGTCAGACCCCTGTTAGACCAGGACCAGTGGGGGTCAGGGGTCCCACATGTATGGAGCCATGTTTACCTGCCAGGGACAGTCTCCAGGGCTGCATTGATTAGCTCCCACCAGCCTGGTCTGAACCTGGGTGCTCTGGTTAAGTCCATCCTGTGAGGAGGGCAGCTGCCCACAGGGAAACTCCACTGAAACACAATCCCATCGTCAGCGTAGAGCATCATCCACGGTACCATAAAACCACTGGTCAGGCCAGCCTTTTCTTTACCTTTAGAAATACATTGTTTCCCATCATCTGCCAGCTGGTAGCCATCAGCACAGAAACATCTGCGTCGAACTCCAGAACCATCGCAGAAATGCTCACAGTGACCGTTCTGATACAGACATCCCAGCGTGTCTTCAAAAACTGAAAACGTGACAAAAAAGGTCAATCCAACGGAGGAGCTTCGCTCCAGACTGATGTTAGTGGGTGGAAGTTAGTGGGTGGATGTTAGTGGGTGGATACTAATGGGTGGATACTAGTGGGTGGGTGATAGTAGGTGGATGTTAGTGGGTGGATGTTAGTGGGTGGATGTTAGTGGGTGGATGTTAGTGGGTGGATACTAATGGGTGGATACTAGTGGGTGGGTGATAGTAGGTGGAAGTTAGTGGGTGGAAGTTAGTGGGTGGATGTTAGTGTGTGGATACTAATGGGTGGATGTTAGTGGGTGGATACTAATGGGTGGATGTTAGTGGGTGGATACTAATGGGTGGATGTTAGTGGATGGGTGATAGTAGGTGGAAGTTAGTGGGTGGAAGTTAGTGGGTGGATGTTAGTGGGTGGA